AAAAATGAACATCTATTTCAAAATGCTTAGTTTATCATGAAACGATGTTTAAAGCCAATTTGATTGCAAATCCATTATCACAAAAAAGATTAAACGGAACAGTATTACTAAACTGTAAATAATACAAAATTTTTAACACCAAAATTATTCACATGTTAAAGAACCAAAAGCCCAATACTCAGACTCAATTGATAACCTGGAAATTGTAGATTGTTTTTTTACTTCTCCAAGAAATAAGAGAATCACCAAAATAGACCAAATAAGCACTTACTTATTTTCTAGAAAATAGACACTTAGCCCCATCAGCATCAGAAAAACCTCTCAAAACAAGAGAATAAGTTTTTAAATAACAAACCCTTTTTCCAGGACTGTTTTTAAGATATCTTAACAACCTCAAAGCAATTCTTAAACGAGATCTTCTAGGTTACATGTCACTTCGGTCACATCCGAAGTCGGTACCATTCACTATATCTTTGTTACCAACGATCTTTTCTGTAACATCGACTAACAATGTGTCACTATGTGACAACTAAAGAGGGTGGATGCATTGGAGGAATGTCTTGCTTGAAGGTGAGGAGGTTTTAAGAGGGTTGAACACTCTGATTAAACTGGAGTTGAAATGGGTTAGGAGGAGCTTAGTCTGATTCGTGATTAATTTCACATCAAGATGAAAGGGTTTGGTGTGTTGGTAGTAAGATCCATTGTAATTTAAAGATATTATAAATTGTAATTTAAATAAAAAAAGATGAAAAATAATAGAGAAAATGATACAAATGGCCTACGAACTGTCTAGGGTTAGTTCTTTTAGTTCCTTAACTATTTTCGTGACTTTATGAGGAAACCAACTCATAAGCAACTGGTCTTTTTAGTCCATTTTATTGGTTTTAGCCATAATGATGGGCCTATAACTAATTAACTATTATGACATGGCATAATAATTATTGTGTAACATCCGGATTTCCAGGTATCATAAATTGAGTATTTATTTTAAGTCAAGGAGAGGGACTCGACGAGTTGACGCCTAGACTCGTCGAGTAGGATCGCGATTGCTGACTAGGATTAATGAACGGACTCGACGAGTCGGCAAGTGGACTCGACGAGTCCGCGCTGTGGACAGAAACCCTAAATCTTCGGGCATGTGCCCTATTTAAGGGATCTTATGGCCCTCATTTGCGGCCACCTTCACCCTTGAGAGCACCAGAGAACCTGAGAGCATTGTGAGTGAGATAAGAAGCCATTTTCTTCATTTCTAGTGTGATTTTTGCAAGAAAGAAGGAAGGAGGGCAAGCTAGGCGGATTGAGGAGCTCAGATCTGCTATCATTTGATCAGAAGAGGCTGCCAGAGGTATAAATCTATGCTCATTCTCATGTATATGGTGGCCTACTTAAATCTAGGGTTTTCTTATGCCTTCTTTAGCTTGGATTCGAAGCATATGAGGTCCCAAGGTGGAATTCTTCTTAGATCTGGACCTTAAGAGGTCCAGAGAGTCCTAACTATCCTGCTTTATGCTATCCCTTTGGAGATATGAACCTAGGTTGCCATTTTAGAAGCTATTTCACCAAAAGAAGCCCTATGAGTGTTGCATGAGCGTAAAGGTTGGACCTTTACGTAATTATTGTGTATTGGAAGGTTAGATATATAGGTCAGAGAAGCAGATCTGACCTCAGAAGGTCATTTGAGTAATCTCATGGACGAAACTCGCCGAGTCCATGAGCGGACTCGGCGAGTCGGATCGTGTTGCACCACGATTCGTGTTCAGTGGTAACCCGTTGAGAGAAAGGTTAACTCGACGAGTCGAGTTAGGCTTTAGGAGGATTCAGAGGACACGTATGGACTCGCCGAGTCACCCGAGTGCACTCGACGAGTCTGGTCAAAATTAGACCGTTGGCTAGGGTTGACTTTTAGGGTTTGGTCAACATTTGGACATTGGACCATTGGAGGGGTAAAATGGTCTTTTCCCCTTCTGAGAGAATATAGGGAGGGATTTAGTCTAGCCTTTGAGAGTCGTATTAATTAGAGGTAATTACTTTATGTGATTAGGCGGAGGCTAGATCAGATATTCGAGTTCAAGACTTTTCCGAGATTACCCGAGGTGAGTCTTCTCACTATACTTTACCTAGAGTGGTAATTAGGTGTGACCGGAAGGTCTTATGTGCTATGAGTAGAATGTGATGTATGCTGTTATATGATATGTATGTGCTATGTATGTTTTGAATAGTATAGTATGGACCGGAAGGTCATTATGATATGGACCGGAAGGTCAACAGTGTATGGACCGGAAGGTCATTATGATATGGACCGGAAGGTCAACAGTGTATGGACCGGAAGGTCAAGATGACGAGGACCGGAAGGTCATCAGGGTAGGACCGGAAGGTCTACCCGAGTTGTGGAGCCGGAAGTTCCACTGAGACACATTGGTCGGAAGGCATCATAGATCTATTGCCTCGAGTGGCTAATCGATATGAATGTGGTATTTTGGGGAACTCACTAAGCTTTTATGCTTACCGTTTGTGTGATATGTGTTTCAGGTACCAGTGAGGATCGCGGGAAGGCGCCGGCATGATTTGTACACACTGGAAGAAGAGTTGTTGGAGATTCTGGGATTTCTTATTATTATGACATTTGACATTATGAGATTTTGAGAACTATTTTATGAGTTTTATTATGTTGAAAAATGAAAAATTGTTTTGAAAATTTACGTTGTTACATATTGACAAAACAATAAATGATATATTCCTCCTTTAAAAATCGATTTAGGGTTTCTTCATGAACGAATGACTTCTTCTTCTTCTAAAGTGATGATCTCGAACTCAAGTCCAAAACCCTAATTCTTGACTTAAGGAAAAAAGGGCTCCTTTACCCCTGCCTCAATGGGCCTCCCTCCCCCTAAGGCCCAAATCCGTAAAAAACCCAAAAAGGCATCCAAGCCCAACTACAAGGCCTCTAAGGCCCAATATGGCCCAAGAACCCCCAACATGGCCGTAAGCCCAAAAAATGACCTGATTGTCAATCAGGTGGGCCCGAGGCCTAAATTAAACAAGTCCATGCATACGCCCAAAATATGTTGAAGCCTCTGCTATCTGGATTTCAAGCCAGTACGCCCGGCGTACTCCTAGCGTACGCCCAGCGTACTCGGCTAAGGTCAAGAACCGCCAATCTTCCGAAGGCCATAACGTCTTCATTCTAAGTCCGATTTCGTTATTCTTTATATCCACGGGAAGGAAACGAGAAGCTCTACACTTCTATCAACTCTCCCTTGCCTTAAAACTTTTCTAACATAAACCCAAACTTCATAAAGGCTCGAACTGATACTTACTGATATGTCCTTGGGCTCCAACACAAACCGAACACTCGGTCCCCACAACCTACATTATCCATCACCAAATGGGTGTTACAGACACCACGACTTGTTACGAACGAATATAAATTTGAATACATCGTACACAAGTATCGGAACCATATCCCAAGAAACATGCAAAAGAAATGGTACGAAACAATAAAATAACATGGAAAGGACAAGAGACGTGTCTGTCTGTAGACCAGATAATAAATGAAGGACCGGTCAAGACTATGAACTCTTCTAACAACGAGCAGCCTGTAAATACCCCCAAAGACATGATATCTGAGGCAGAGTAAGGTAAGGCAAAAAAGAGATAACATACATAGCATTAAGGTAACATTGAGATCACAATCTAATTTAGGCATCAGAGAGCTATGTCGGGGTCCAAATTAGATTACGATTTCGTTTCCGAAGGCCATAACCCTCGGTATGGTTGTCTGATGCCTAAATTAACTCCCGTGGATATAAAGAATGACGAAATCGGACTTAGAATGAAGAAGTTATGACTTTCGGAAGATTGGCGGTTCTTGACCCTAGCCGAGTACGTTGGGCGTACGCTAGGAGTATGTCGGGCGTACCAGCTCGTCATCCGGATCGCAGAGGCTTCAGCATATGTTAGGTGTATGCATAGACTTGTTTAAGTTAGGCCTCGGGCCCACCTGATTGTAGCATGTCATTTTTTGGGCTTAAGGCCATGTTGGGGGTTCTTGGGCCATATTGGGCCTTAGAGGCCTTGTAGTTGGGCTTGGATGCCTTTTTGGGCTTTTTATGGATTTGGGCCTTAAGAGGAAGGGAGGCCCATTGAGGCAGGGGTAAAAGAGCCCTTTTTGCCTTAAGTCAAGAATTAGGGTTTTGGACTTGAGTTTGAGATCATCACTCTAGAAGAAGAAGAGCAATCATAGGAGAAGAAGAAGTCATTCGTTCATGAAGAAACCCTAAATCGATTTTTAAAGGAGGAATATATCATTTATTGTTTTGTCAATAATTATTATGTCATATCATAATAGTTAAGCCAAGTCATCATTTAATCTGTAAGAGCCAGTTACCGGTGGGCAATATTTGAACAAAACATATAGTATGTTGGTATTTTTTGTACAAAAAGTTTACTTGGATGGTGTTTTTTGAACATACCAAACTTGGATGGTGTTTTTTGAACGATTTTGAAACATAGTTACCCCTTTGAGTCATTTTCTCTTGTTTTTTTTTTCTTTACTTATTTTTTACCGGTAATTGTCGGTTACCACAAGGTCAAATTTGAACAAAAAATGTACTTCGTTGGTGTTTTTTGTACAAATGTTTTACTTTGATGATGTTTTTTGGACACACCAAACTTGAAAGTTATTTTTTGAACGATTTTGACACATAGGTAGCCATATAAGTCATTTTTCCATAATTAATCACAAAAGTTTTGAGTTCGATTTTTTTGGTGTATTTTTGCCATCAAAGTTCGCGGAAATGCAAGTCCCAGCAGACCAGCATGACATAGATTACACCTCGTAAATTAAGGAATAATCTGAGGAGGACATTTGTAATTTACTCGAAAGAATATGATTTTTTTTCTAATAGTGTTCATAACTGATAACTCTATAAACCATTTTTTATTAACTATTAACTTTAAACTGAAAAGTAAGAGACCAAATATATTAATGATCAATCGATTCAATCTTGTTGTAAATCATGAGTGGTGGTGATGGTGGTGTTCTTCATCAATGCAGCTTGAAGGAAGTCTTCCATGGCTTCGACAGAAGAACCTCTGAAACCTTGTTCGTTTCTTGTTGCTTCTTCAATCATCTTCTTTATTTCAGATGCTTTCTTCCTCATCTCCCTCCCTTTTCCATCCTCACTCATCACCTCCTCTATCGTCTCCCTCAAATCCTCACTCCTTACCTCAAAACTAGTCCCTCTTGCCACCTCCACACATACCTCTGCAATCTCCACCATCATCTTCGCATTATAGAACTGCTCCGCCGCCATCGGCCACCCCAGCAACGGCACTCCACGGCTCAACGATTCCAGCACTGAATTCCACCCACAGTGACTCATAAACGCCCCTACAGATTGATGAGACAATATCTCAACCTGGGGTGCCCATTTCTCTACTATAAGTCCTCTGTGTTCCTCCTCTGTCTGTTTCTTGAAGTTTTCCGGCAGCCACTCCTCTGCTCTGAACTCGGTGTTTATGTCGAACCCCAGCGGCGGCCGGACTACCCATATGAAGTTTTTCTTGCTTTTATCTAAAGCTTTGGCCAGGTGCATCATCTGGGATGCAGTGATGGTGTTTTGTGATCCGAAAGAGATGTATAAAACGGAGGCTGGTGGCATTGAGTTTAGAAATTGTAGACATGAATTTGTTTCGATTCTGCCATTTTTTCCGGTCCGAGCTCCACCACTTACGGATAAGTCTATTGGGCCAATTGCCCAAACCGGTCGACTGAATTTTCTTCTGAAATACGATAAACCGACTTTGTCGAGGTCTTCTACTGTGTTAAACAAGAACCCATCGGAATTCCCCCATGCTGGGAGGTTCTGTTTCTGGAATTTCGACCAAGGGTCATCGCCGGTGGCGGCTACCAGGCTTGGAGTTAACTGGGTCACTTGCAGTTTACCAGCTTCTGGAAAATCCGGCAAAGTGAACTCGCTGGAATCGGAATGTTTGTGTGCCAAATTGATCCAAGACGACAAGTAACACGCTAATCCAAACCCACCGGATCCACTGAAGATGACATGGAAAATCCCGAACTCATGGGTTACCGCCGCCGACCACCCAAAGAAAAAATCGGCCACCACACAAAGCGGCGGAGTTCCAGCGTCAACCAATCCAGAGAGGATGTTTCTGAAGGCTGGTTTAAGAGAAGCGGAGGCGACAAGGAGATCGTAGATCTGGTATGGAGGGAGAGAATCGGTGTTCTCAGAGTTGGGAGGGAGGCCATGGTCGGAGGAGTTGAAGGGGACTTCAAGGAGGCGAACGGCAGAGGTGGGCGGAAGAACACGGCGGAGATTGGCGATGTTGAGTGGGGTGTTTATGAAGGTGATCTGATAGCCCTTTTGTTCCAGTTGAAGAGATAAAGATAAGAACGGGATGATATGGCCTTGTGCCATGAAAGGGAACATAATAATATTGTTATTATTGCCCGCCATTGAAGAAGCTTTTTTTGATTCAGAAGAGTGTTGATGGTGATGAATTATAAGGCCGAAGAAATTTCTATCTAACACGGGTAAACGCTAGAAACGACCTATTTCTTAGACCACACAACTTTCTCCTTTTCACATTTGAACCCTGGAAAAAAATATTGTTTTTTCTCAGTCAACGAGATTATACTTTTTAAGCAAAATTCAACATTTCAACTGAATAACTTAATCAGTTAATTGGGCAAATATTTCTGTTTATACAAAAGTTGGTCAAATAGAAACCAAGTGTTGTTTTGACGTTATCGGTTATACGTCTTAGACATTCAGTAGAAACAAATATCTTAATACAAAAAGGTATATGATATTTAAAATGCCTTTTGCTTCGTCATACTTGTTTGTTTCTCTTTCCGTGCCAAATTAAGTATATCACTGCTATGTTTTCCATATTTATGTGATACTTGCTTCTTTGTTGTGTTTGTGATTGCTTACTTGCTTCCCTTTGTAAAACTGTTTGGTAGTTTATGTTGTAAAATATGATTGGAATAGAACATATTAAAAGTATGTTTATACGAGAAGGAGAAGGTGTCGGTCATTTTCTTTTGCAATTTAGTTGCTTTAAAACGAGTTCATGACGCTCTTATCATTCATTTTATTATTAATATAATAATTTGCTCTGATCTATTAAAGGGGTTCACGATGCCGTATAATGCAGTTTAAAATCGAAAATGCAAACCACATTGCAAAAGCTTTAAACCGCATTATTATGTGTGCTTTCGGACGGACGTTTTATGTGTTTGATAGATGAGCTTTTCAACTTTACAATTTTTTGTTTATAATCATGCAGGTTAATCATTTCTAAATTTTATATCTAAGACTTTTTGCAAGTTAAATCGGTATATTATAACTTCTATGAAGTAATAGAGTATATTTTTATCAAAGTGGTACTTTTGACATTCTTTTTTTATCTAAACTTAGAGATGTCAAAAAATCTCGTGGAACCCCCAATCTCGTATAGAGGGGGTATTTGTTTAAAAAAATCAGGAATGGAGTGGATAGGCAGTAAAGTCTCGAAACTCCCACGAGGCCCGTTAATATATTTATATAATATAAATACAATAAATAATTTAATTAAACCCTCACGATATGAGATTATATTTTTGTTTTTAATATGTAAAATTCTATTATAAATAATTTTTTTTTACCCAAAAAATAATAATTTTTAGCCCCAAAAAAGACAACCCAAAATCAATTGGAGATGGGGAACGGAGGCACGTGTAATCAAAGAATTCGGAGGCCATGTAGAAATGATGGAGATTCCGGGGGTGGAGAATAAGATGAATTTTAAAGGTGGCATGAAGGATGCAACCTTTGCCCTGTTTGGCCCCGATGCCCAATCCTATGTAAATTACACATATTTATCAAAGTTATCATAAAATGTCGTACATTGAAAACATTACATTGAAATGAAATAGATACTAATTAGTTTGTTAATGGTGATTACATCTTTAGATGATGTACATGACCACTCATCTTTAATATCATTAATTTCCTGACTTTTTTTTGTCAAGATTGAAGTGTAAAAGCTATCAAGTAAAAGATAAATACATTACCTTTGTGTTTTCTTAAATATAGTTTTTTTAGATTTTTATTTTTGAATTGTAGGCTTTTTTGTTTTGAAGTTTAAAGATTATAAAAATTTTAAATTATAAGAAATTAACAATCATGATATGAATCATAATATTTTTAAATTATATTATTTTAAATCATTTTATTTTTGGATCAAATAATTTTAGATCATAATAATATCCAACTAAATCTAGTTTTTGAACATAATAAATTTTGGATCGTTATGTTTTTTTGAATTATAAAAAATACAATTAAGGATTATAACTTTTTATATCATAGTATTTTTAGATCATAACAAATTAAAAATCATAAACATATTGAATTATAACATTTTTGAATCATAAATATTTTAAATCATATCTTTTATATTATTTAATAAAAATACGATTGCAATCTTTGATCTTTTGGGGTCGTCCACAACTTCTTCAGAGATAGTGGAGAGAGAAGAACATGAAGGAGAGGTAATTATGATGAGGGTTAACTTGTAGAGTACACTCAGTATTCTAAAAGAACAAGAAATAGAAAGAAAATTGAAGAGGCATACAAAGAGAAAAGAGGAAGACTGGCAAAGCTTCGAGAAACAGCTAAAGTTGAGGAATCAAGTGATTAGTTTCATTATTTACCATCAAATAGAAGTAGGGATGAAAGTGAGTCCAAACCCGGACCGGTTTACCCAGACCCGTAAAACCCAGAAACTGGAATTGATGATTTATAAGAACCGAGAACCGGACCGGTATACGGGAACCGGTTCCAGTTCGGTTCCGGGTATCACACCGGTTAAAGTGGGTATGGAACCGGTTGGAACCGGAAATTGATAATTAGAACCGGATTCGTGTATTAGACCCGTAGATATCCAAAAACCCGGAAATAGACCCGAAATTTTGGAACAAAAAAAAATGCAATATGTTTGAAAAAAAATGAATCAAAGTGTATAAAACTAAAATAACCATGTTCAATTTGTATCATCACATTGAGAGATAGTTTTTTTAATGGCCAAACTATATATAAAAAACTAACAATCAGCTAGGAAATGAAAAACAATTACCAAGTGTTCATAGCCAACATTGTATTTTACAACCACACATCCAACTTACATTAATTTTAGAATTTACATGAACTGCCCATTAAAAAGAATACTAACAATCTTATCAAAAGGAATTTGATGCGTTATATACGAAACACCAAAAACACAAACCGTAAAATATTCAACATAAAGTTTAAATTAATGAAAGTTTGGCATGTTACAACAATTATACCATCTTAAAATACAATATGTTATTTAACCGATACAAAAGAAAAAAAGCAATTTGTTAACATTAATACAATATTAATCATGACATTCTTTTTACAATGGACCCATTTTGAGTTTTTGACAAACCTCCCCAACGGAAAAATTAGAATTTGGTGGATGTTATTAAATGAAAATAATTAATATAATTGGAAAAAAATGAATCAAAGAATGGGACTTGGTAAATAATATGTAGCAATTACAGTGGACTGGTTTTTTTTTAGTAGCCGATATCGGTTTCGGTTCATCTTATTGTGTAACCCTTCAAATTTCGGTTCAAGGCCCACTAAAACGTTTCCGGTTTATTAAACCCGGTTTCGGTTTTTTTTACAAATCCGGTTCTAAAACCCAAAATACCCGGACCCACTTGACCCGGACCCGGATTACCCGGAACCCGGATAAGACTAATTTTTAAACCCAATACCTGGACCGTTTAAGCATTTTCCGGTTCCGGTCCGGTTTTCGGTTTTATAACTCATCCCTAAATAGAAGTGTCTTAGTAAAGCTAAATGTTAGTAGGCTTTCTTTATCTTCATCTTCATCTTCTACTCTACAACACTTAGAAGTACCTAAAGCTAAGGAATTAAGAATTGGCGATGATCCAATAGCAACAATGATGTAAAGGGAGCAAAAATGGGTTTTTTTTTAAACACAAATAAAAGTTCAATCCACATCAGCAAGCCTAGGTGGCATTTTACCTGAGAAATGACCTGATTCCAGTAGCAAGGGTATATTTAAAAATGAAACATTAGTCTGTTACTCTATGATGGCGTTTTTATAGTTGAAAAATGTTTTTTAATCATTTTAAAAAGTTGGTTACCACCCTTTATGACAATTATCCCAAAAACTAAATTAATTATAAATTTAGTGTTACAATGTATTTAATATACAATTGGTAAAGCATTTTAGAAAGGGCTATACACACAAAAGTGTTCAATTATGCTCATTGTCATCATTGTCTCCTTTCCATGAAATGTGCTTTTGAGAAACCATGAGTAGAGAAGCTTCCTAAAACAAATACCATTTGCCAACATTAGCCTTTTTCTGTTCTGCACCAAGTAGACCCATAATGAAAAATAATGAGGGCGTTCACGTCTTTTACACAAACCTCTATGGCATCTTTATTTTGTGGGACAAAAATTGCATTTTTTGTCTGGTCTCAACCTCATTGATCAATGTCATAACAATGTGTAAAAGAGCAAGAATGGATAAATATATGCACCAGGGTTCCAGCAATTATGGTGCCATTGAGGGGATGAGTGGCACAAGCAGTAACACGTCCAGACAATGGTATCAACTTGTTTTGCTTACGTGGATGAAAAATCTCCTTCATGTCACTACACTCAACAAAGACATATGCATAAATAACCAATCAGTCTTTAAGATGTGATTGAAGAAAGAAACAAAAAATTACTTACTCATGATCTACGTGGCATGGGGAGTTTCTGTGTGGGTAAAAATCCAATAGGTGAAGCCCATCGCTTGAAGATGACCCAACTGCATACATCTGTAAATTGAAATTAAAAAATAAAATTAAGCAAAATTTTATCAAAAGAAGAATAGGAACAAATATGAAATTAACAAAAAGAAAGAATGTCTAACCGAATGTGCAGGTAGCCATGATGGTTTTCTCGAGAACAAAATAGGGACATTATTTGTTTCATCCCTAATTTCATAAACAATAATACATGGTTTTTAATATACCATGGGAACAAACAAAATGTAATTTAGAATATAGACCAAAAAAGAAAGATGTTTTAAAAGTAACAAATCCTGGAAAAAAAAATTAAAATGAAAACAATAAAGTGAGAATGAGTCAAGAGTAAGACTTACAGCCAATGAGGCGGAGGGCAATGGATATGTGTCACTTGGAAATTATGCAAATCCAAAACACCAGACCTGAATTTACAAAAAGAAAACTAAGTGACAATAGGTAAAGTGGAATCATATCATCAAATATTATTTAATATTTTAAATAACAAATTTATTTATATTCTGACTTACCAACCATCATCAAGATGGAAGCCGAGTTGATTTGGACAAGATGGATTAATGTCAATTGACTGTATTTCCTTTGCTACAATATCTGATTGTGCCTGCATCATATATCAGTTTTTCAACATTAAACTCACTAATATTATATTAAACCAAAAACCATAGTGACATAATAATTTTTCATACCTTTAGAAGCTCAATTTTATTCAGCATGGATGCTAACTTTAATGATGTCATAGGAGAAGAATGTACCTGCCATTGGAGAGACAGTTTATTACTTTATTATTATATTATATACAATGAACTTCTTATTTCAACGTTTGAGAATTTTCATAAAATCAAAAAGGATAAAACGATTACAAATATATATATATAAAAGTTGTATAAAGAAGAAAAAGCACCTCCTTGTGACTTTGAAAAGCAGCTGATGATCTTCCACCACGTAGATCCCAAATATATATAAACCCACTCTTACTAGCACCATATACACACTGACAATTAAATTAAAATTTAAAGGTAAGTCTTTATAGAATTAAATGGAAAAGTAAATTTTAAAAAATGTTAAACCTATTTACTTGATCTCCATTCAGTTGGATGCTGGTAAGGCTGCTATTTGCATTAGTTGTAAGCCCAGTTTGTGGAAGATCACCCACTCTTCTGTCCCAGATACTTATTGCTCCACATGTGTCTGAAGCAAGTACCCTTTCCAACAAAGATTGAGACATTTAAAAATCATATAAATAAAGTATGCAGCATCAGCATTAGGGTTTTTTCTTTTGTGAACCTTGTGTCATCATTAAATAAGGCTATATCAGTTAAACCTTTGCGTATACTGCTACCATGAACAGTAACAGTAGGCCTCTTTCTCAATACCTGCAAATTGATAAACTTGAGATACTGAAGCATCTTAATGTACTTATATTAATGAAGAAATACAAATGAAATATAAATACCTCAACTGGCTCAGAAGAAATATACCCAAATATCAAATATATGAACTTCATTATGGCTTAGGGATGTACATGCCACCTGAACAGTATGCATGTTGAATGTTAAGCCAAATTTAGTTACAAACTTGTAAAGGAAAAAGAACAAAAAATAAACAATGAGAAGAAAAGGGAGGGATAACAGACCTCATCCTGATTAACAGGATTCCAGCGAACAGCATCAATAGAATTGGATAAAGAAATGTGCAGCAGGTGTTTCCCCTCATCTTCTTCTCGGCCTATAACCAAAATAAAGAACAAAATGGAGAAAACAATTCATGGTTGAAAGTTAAAACAAATAATCAATTCTTTGATTAAAATCATTAAGTTGCAACAAGGATGACACATATAGTAGAATTGGTTTTAAAAACTTACGTGGAACTGGTTGATTACTTTGACAGTATAAAGATTCAAAATCATGAACAGTTAGACACCCTGATCTTGTCACTGATGCCAAATAGATTCCCTGATAGAACGATAATAAATAAACCAATAAGATTTGTCTACTCCTGGTGTTAAATCTGGAAAATGAAAAAACATGGTGAAATGAGACCTGAAATGGTATTCACATTTCTAGCTATGGGCAAATGATAATAAAGCACACATGATGCTTATATTTGTCCAGATAATGAAGCTAACAGTGCCTACCTGTCTGTCAAATTCCAAAGCAGATACACCCACCCTGGATGATGATAAAGTAAGAGAGAATATTAGTGGATCTCTCTAACTGAACAAAAAATTGAAAAGAAGATTGTTGTTCTAGAAATGTAATTAAAAAAAATGAAGAAACAAAGTAATTTCAGATTTGAATTCAGGATATCACATTACTATCCATGGCATATAAATACTCCTTCCATCCCGTTATGTAGATAGATTTCATCAAATGATTAGGCAATATGTGCATATATATAATTACATATCAAACAAAGGCATCAACTAAATACAAAAATAGAATTATGACACTTACCCACTGATGCGGGAGCCCTCTGATGCGTATCCAGTGGCTGCGTTAATCTGCCAAAATAAAAACATAGCTATCGCCGATAAGCAATTCCCCTTATAATTTCTACTCCCTCGTTCCCAGTGAAATTATCAAAATCTTGGTGAATTGAGATTGTTTAACTTGGGACGATGTAGCATTTTTTTCCTCAATTTAAATTCAAATGTAAAGGATGCGAACCAAGAACGAGTGATACATGCTGCTGATATGCGTTTTACAAGGTCTTCCTTCAATGTGATACGTGTGAGGAAATGCCCCAATCTCTCAAAATTAGACCAATCTAGGGTTAGTAACTTGGTCAGGTAAAAACACGTTGATAACACACCCAACCAAAATCGACACTTCTTACCTCGGAATACGATTGCATAAGCAGCGGGGAGACATCGTGGCGGTAATTGCCTTTAAATTTTCCAGTCAATTCAACTAGACTCCTATTCCACTGCGTCCTTCATTTGGGTGATAAGCAAAACAGCAATTAGCCGAAGATTGAAACAACCACAATATAGTTAGAAGAGCTTACCCCGTTATTGGCTTAACGTTTTCAGCGATCGCAGCAACAGGAACTGCGTACTTTTCCATGGCGGATTATGTGATATCAATCGAGGCCTCTGAGTGACCGAAGCCAGTAGCAGCGAAACATCTATAAGGTTTCCCGCTCTTCAGAAAAAACAAATATTGTAAAACTTCTCAGCGCGTGTTTTGAAAAAGAGAAAACACTTCGTAGCTTTTTATCGGTGTAGAAATATATAAACTTTTATTTACCTAAAATGACAAAACTCCAAAAATGTCTATGTTGAAAATTATTTCTTTTGATCCAAAACTTTTATTTGTTGCGACTTTGGGTCGAAAATTTTTTAAAATATTTAAACAAAACTCCAAAAACAGTCCATGTGGTATGGTATGCTTTTTTTTGGGTTTTGGTTCAAACCCTAACTTTTTTGGATCAGTAATTTTTTTGAGCTAGTTTCGTTGCGTATTTGGTCCCTTCGAATATTGAAATTACTGTAATACCCACCCTTAGGAAATTTATTTTCTATTTTTCTTTCATTTTTTTAAATTTATTACTTATTTATTTATTTTACTAATTAAAAAATAAGAGGGAGGTCACCTCTCTCTCTCTCTCTCACATACACACACATGGGTTTTTGATGAACATCATGAAGACCCTTTGAGTTCGTGAAATCTCAGATTTGTTCTTGAACATACATCACGTCCAAAAATGATTTCTTGTTCATGGTTTTTGTGTTCTTCGATCTTTGGATTTGGTCTTGAAAAATGATTGCATGTTCTTGGTTCTTGTGTTCTTCGATCTTTAAACTCCATTTCAGATCAGACTCAAATTTCATATTGGAGTTCATGTGTTTGTGTATGAACCCAATTACAGATTTTATTTAATGTATCTTACACTTAGATTCGATTTTGTATTCAAGTTTTGGTGTGTGTGTTAAACCTATATTTCAATAACAAACTCATATTTGATCTTTATTGTGTCATCAAAATTCAAGTCAGATCATCATCTTGTTCGTCAAAACCCAAGTCAGATCTCCAACTTAATTTAAGATGAATTAATGTTTTGAACATCAAAACCCACAAAACAAAACCTCAAAAATGATTTTCAGACCCGATAACACAAAACTAAGAACACAAAGAATTCCTAAAAATGAAAATCGAACATGGAAAACCCATATGATATTTGGAAAAAAATTTGAACATGAAAAATCAAAAGTGGAAAGCCCATACAAAACACTTCACAATCGATTTATGAGTTCTTCAAACACATGAACATTTTTTGGGTTTTGTTGGGTTTATAAGTTCTTGCGTTCTTTGAGCACACACACATTGAATCCTTGAAGAAAGCGAGAGATAAATTGTTTGAAGTTCAGATTAAAGAGAGAGATAGAGATAGATTGAGAGAGGGAGAGGGGTCCAAAATCGAAGATGAAATCTATAGTTGAGTTATAGAGAAAAATCGAAGAAGCGCCTGTTGGTAATTGTAACATTCGGTTTCAAATTTGCTTCATTGTTAAGGTTGCGGCCCAGTCATCAGTAGTCACGAGGCTTAGGGCTTCGAGAAAGGAAGGATTTAGCCCACTTCGGGTGTAGTTGCAATGGTATAAGTGATCCATGTATTCAATTGTGTCTTCGGAAGCCAAGGGTATGACTGTAATTTGATATATCGGTCTTTTATGGGTTTAGGGTTTTGTTCGAGAGGTTTTAAGGCTTAGGTGTGTTGTTAGGAGCGTAGGGATTCTCGCCACCTTTTTGTGGATATAAGGTTCGTTGGAAACGGACCTAGGATGAGGGAGTTATGATACTTTGAAGTTATTGGCAGATTTGGTCCTTGGTGGAAAAAGCTTGCATTTCAGCCCATGCATGCAAAGGTGGCATGTGCGTGAGTACGCCCAGCATAGGCTAGGGTACGCCCAACGTATGAATGGAAAAGTGGAACGCGGGTTTGGGAGTTGTACGCCCAGCGTACGTTCAGGATCCCCAAAACCCTAATTTTAAGGGTTGGCTCACTATTAAGCACCTTAATTCTCAGGTGTGAGCCTCTCTTTCATCCTTGTAACGACCCAATTTTTCAAAGGAAAATTTTCATTTTTTTAATATATCAAATATTTTCCACAAACCATAAAATCTCCAAATACAATTGTTTTCAATTTAGTAACAATAACAATTTTATTCCAAAACATCAGAGTGTCCCACAAACGCCTGAGGGAGAGTGCACGTCGCGCCATCAAGCCTTGCCCTTGCCCTTGGGCTCAGATGTACCTGAAACAAATCCACAAACTGTAAGCTAATGCTTAGTGAGTCCCCCAGAGCATACCCCACACATAATCCACATAACACATATCATATTAACTATAGAAGCTACATATATCACATAAGCCATGCATACTAACATATAAGGATGTCGTGGGCTCCTCCCAGGGTCTTATACATTCATGTCATGGGCTCCCCCCATGGTCTTTACCTAGGAATGCCACGGGCTCCCCCACATGGTCTTATATCCAACTGTCACGGGCTCCCCCCGGGGTCTTCCATGCAATAACATAATAATCAACTAGCATATCATATATCACAGAAGTATCTATCATACTACATAACTCATACGTAAACATATAAGGATGTCGTGGACTCCCTCTAGGGTCTTACTCCAATGTGCCATTGGCTCCCCCACATGGTCTTATATCTGACTGCCACGGGCTCCCCCTCCCCCCCCCCCACGGGGGGTCTTCCATGCAAATATCATATAATCACTAGCATACCACTTAGCATAAAGCTAACTATCATACCCATATCTCAACTACAGATAGTGTACCTGTTAGGTGCATTGTGTGCACCTTTTTGCATAACCTTTAGCCCTTTGTATGTATGTTTTTAGCATAATTGTTCTTTGCTTTTATTGCATTTCATCATATTTAGGTTAATTTCTGGAACAACCTTATTTGCACTCTTTAATGACATTTTCAGGTAAACAGGAGGTTGGAGCGCGCTTTTGGAGGTGCCGGGGGGCATTGGTGAAGATTGCGGGATAATCGGGCGTAGAACGGAAGAATTGAGAAAATCAAGTTTGGACTCGAGTCAGAGGGCAACACGGGCGTGTTGGGTTTGGCCTAGAAATCCAACACGGGGCGTGTTTGACCATTCCAAGGCATTTTGACCTCACTGAACACGACCCGTGTTCATTTACTCTATATTGACACGGGGCGTGTTTGTCCAGTTGAACATTTTTTAGCATCATACTTTAGAGTTGGAATCGAGGATTGAAGGGTGTGTTTTCACTTAACACGACCCGTGTTGATTTACTCTATATCGACACGGGCCGTGTTCAACTTAAAAACTGCTTTTTGGAAGTTTTTCCCTTTTTCCTTATGTCGAGAATGGGGTCATTTTGGGAGAAGATAGAACACCACCAGCACTTTTGGAGAGGAGAATTCAAGGGTTTTAGCAAGGGTTTGTCCCGTTAATCATTGGGAAACATTTTAATTTCTTTAATTTCTTTTGTAAGCACTTTAGCACTTAATTCCATCTTTTAAACTTGTTAATCTTGTCTAGCCATGTGTGGCTAGAACCCTAACTTCTCCAATTTCATGTTTTGACTTTTTGGTTGTGAATCAAATCATATGACCTGATGTTTGTGTTTTAATTTCTATCTAGTTAAACTGATTTTATTCAATCGAATGTTTGATTCTAATAATGATTCTTATTGGCCATTTGAATTAGGGTTAGGTCATTCAAGTTATTCATTTTGCAAAATCCGTAATTGTTTTGTGAATTGAACTAAGTAACAAGCATTAAATTGATTTCTTATGAATGAATTTAGTGTAAATCTTTTCACACATTCTTACGCTCCCGAGCTTGTGAGGAGTATTGGGTGTTGTTGGGAACATTCACAATAAGCTTAATGCATTTTTAATCTAATTCTAAGAGCTTGTTTAGATTAGGTTAGCAAGGTTAGGATTAATCAAAGAGCTTGTTTTGATTGATTAATGTGGTGGATGGAAAGTGTTAGAGCTTGTTAACACTTTCAAGTACCAACTTAGATAGAATGAAACAAATTCTTGTCATCTTTGATTCACATTTCTGGATTGTCATTCATGAAGTTGGAGTCCTTACAAAATCTGAACTTAATTCACGCCTTTAGTTGATTGCTTATGTTTTAATTGTTTGTTTAATCACTGCATTCTAAACCCCCTTCTCTTACTATTTGTGACCATAGTACCTTGTGCAAAGAGGTATAGACCAATTGTCCCGTGTCTTTGTGGATCGACCCTACTTGCCTTGTACTACCTTTTAGTGCAATATAGTAGTGTTATTTTGGAGTATATCGTACCCCTATTATTTGTTGGGTCTGACACACTTAACAAATTGGCGCCGTTGCCGGGGACACGGTGTTACTAATTGTTTATGCCTAGATCTTTTCGTACAGGTACACCACTGCCAATTGACTCGGAGATAGAGAAGACTGCAAAGAAGTTAAGGAAGCAAGCCAAGCTTCGTAAGAGGCAACCGGTTTCCGGTACTTCTTCATCATCCAATCCCCCGGTCATCAACATTTGGGAGGACATACCCCTCTCAAGTGTATCCGCATCAGAAACAGAAAGCCCATCACTCTCACCACAACCATCCTCACCCATAATACCACTCCACCCTCTTCACCTGTTCATAATATCCTAAACACTTCACCTACAGAAACACATCACCCACTTCTCAAGCCATGGGAGATAACCATGGAGGAAATCCACCTCCAAACCCACCACCCGAACAAACTCTCCGTCAATGGTCAAGACAAGAGGTTACTCAAACCTCTTTGCATCACATACCGGCCGCCACAACCTGGAACTAAAATCCGGCCTCATTCACTTACTCCCAACATTTAGGGCCTGAAATGAAGATCCTCACAAGTTTCTCACAGAATTCCATGTTGTGTGGGTATGAAACCACACAATGTCACGGAGGATCAGATCAAGCTTAGGGCATTCCCCTTTGCAGTGCAAGACGCAGCCAAAGACTGGCTCTATGACCTCCCACCGGGGACGGTGACTACTTGGGTAGACTTGCACGGTTGTTCTTGGATAAGTACTTCCCGAAATGAAAGCTTCAGCCCTACGGAGGGAATATCGGGAATCAAGCAACACAAAAGAGAAGCTTTCCACACATATTGGGAAAGATTTAAGAAACTATGTGCCCGTTGTCCAAAGCATGGGATTACCGAGTATCAG